TTGTTTCATCTTGTTGCTCGTTGTTGCATCTTGTTGCTTGTTGCATCTTGTTGCTCTTTGTTGCATCTTGTTGTTTTCGTCGTATCGTATTACTTATTGTTCTCTACAGTTGATTTTTTAAATATTTATTTGGGTTTATATTTATCTCCGCTACATCTTTGGTTAAAAACCCCATAATTTATTACTTTAAAGTAATAAATTAGAAATTTTGTATATAAACATCCACAAGAAATCCTTAGAAACAATAAAAAACAAAAAATTCAAAGTTATCAACAAAATGAAACACAAAGAAGCTCAAAGAACAATATGTAACAACTAATTATTACTAAATTGTGTAACTACTTCTATAATATTAAATTACAAACTTATATATATTTTCAATTTTTACGATTTTTTTTATATTTTCATTTTTTGGAAAATTTTATTTTCAGCTTTATTTAATTTACATGAATTTTAGTTATCTTTGATTTTTTAATTTTTTAGTAAATTTTAAGAACCTTATTTTCTATTTTTATTTTACTCATAAAAATTTAATTTATTTTTGCATGTTTTTTATATATTTAGTTGATTTTTTTCAACTTTTATATATTTATTTGAATTTTTATAATTTTAGTTTGTATACATATCGATTCAAAAAATATTACTCTTACAAATTTTTTTATAATTACTGTTCACATTTTTAAATAGTTCCAAAACATTTTTTTTTCTTATTTTACATTTTTTTCAGAATTATTTTTCAATTAAAAAGTTTTTACTTTTTGTAGTTTTTTATTTTTATAATTTATTACCTTTTTATTTATATTTTTAAGGCTTAAATATGTTTTTAGTCCCTGCAAATATGATACACTTTGTTTTAAGTTCCTGCAAAATATTTTTTTTGTTTTTCATCCCTGTAATATGCCCTATTTTGTTTTTAGTCCTTCTCTAATTCCAAAACCATACTACTCAGAATTTGTTTTATTGTCAGTTGCATAAATCTACTAGAAATATATAAATTTATCCTTTTATAATTTTTTGAGTCTAATATGATGGCTAAAATAATATTAAATTAAATATTCACATTTTTAAAATATATATTAAAATCCTTTAAAAAAATAAAATCAAATACTTTTTTAATAAAATGACAAAGCATTAAAGGAAATCTATGAGTCGGGATTAGTTTCAAATCAAACGGATGTTGACATCATCGGTGATGGACTAAAAACAAAACTAACATAAATTGCAGGGATGAAAAACAAAAAAAATAATTTTGCAAGGATGTAAAACAAAATGTACTATATTTGTAGGGACTAAAAACATATTCAAACCTATTTTTAAAGTTATAAGTGCTCTCGAGAGTATATAGATTCGTTTTAGTCTCTGTGATTGAACTTTAAATCATTTTTTGTATTTTTCTCTTAATGTATTAAAATTATGAAATTTTGCAAGAGTAATTATAGAGCATAAAAATTGGAATGAATTTTCAACCTTCCAATCCGTTACTTAACAAGCCGGTAGGCTTCCGTTGTAGTCATTGGTCTATTTTTGAAAAGGAAATCCTTTTAGTCTATTTTAGAAACAAATTTTGAAAAGTGAAAAAAGTGATATTATTTTCACTTTTTAGCCTATTTGTGAAAAAATCCCTTAAAGTAATAAAAGATTTTGCTTATTTATTCAAAACTTTAGAGTTTTTGCAGCGGAATTAAACAATAACAAGAAAAAAGACGTGTCACCGCCATACTCAGCCCTCAACTGACTGGATGCTAAGGCTGTCCCACATAAATGTATTTAAATTTGGGAAAGTTCCCGAAATAGGACTAAAACAGTTTGAAAATTCCAAAATAGGAATGTCATGTTTTTTATTCGCAAAATAGAAGTAATTACTGCCAAGTTTGGAAAATACTGCCATGTTTGAGGTCTGGTATTGCCAAAACATGACAGTAATTAGTCTTATTTTGGGAATAAAAACATGGCAGTCCTATTTTGGAATTTTCAAACCTTTTTAGTCCTATTTTGGGTAATATTCTCTTTAAATTTCATCATTTAAAATAATGTCATCTAACATACTATCCTCCGTTTCTTTTTAATCGCAACATGTTGAATTTTACACTATTCACGTGTTCTACTTTGACTACATTTTACGGTATTATTTTACGAAAATTATTTTTTTAAAAAGATATTGTTCAATTCATCTTATTACAAATTTTCAAAATCTGTTTTTTAATTATTTTTAACTAATAGAGATTAAAATATAATTACGGTCAAAGATGTGCGTTGGCAAGTGTGAAATGTTGACTGTTGCAACTAAAAAAGAACGGAGGAAGTAGTTTATTCTCAAGGAGACTACCCTACATGTCTTCTAGGACTGCTCTCAATGTCATCATTCTTCACACACCAAACATCATAAGTAACTTAAGAAGTTAAAAGTAACAAATAACACAAAAATTAGCTTTTGCTAAGTAAATCTCACTCAACCCTGCAATATAAAAGTTTTGGTGGAAAATAAGTTACTTATTTTGTATTCCCTCTGCCCCTTAAAACTTGACCAGCACGAAGATTAATAAAGTAAAAACTGTATGATTGAGATTTGTGCAGGGGAGAAAAATTAACTCGAACCACATCTCCTTACTTAAAAGGGAAAATGACAAAATTAATGACACAACCAAAAAAGGAAAGTTGACAAAATTTTAAGGGACGAATGGAGTATATAATATATACAAAAAAGGAGTTTAAAGGATTAACCTTTTCAAAAGACTTGTGTTATAATTCTTATAAATACTCTAAGGAATAATTCCCCAAAGTGCTTAACCAACTCTTTAAGAGTAAAGTACAAAACATTTGATTTTTCTCAAACATAGATTTAGAGCTAATTCTCTTAGTAAGAAGTTGTGAGAAAAGAGTAGAAAAATTATTTAGATGTACAGATGTGGGCCGTAGCACCACTATTCATGATCCAAATGAGAGAATGAGAATGATTGCCAGGGTGAATCAAAGGGACAACATCAGTTCCATCAAAAAATGTGAAGAAGCGTGAGTGTCAGGTTTAAAATGTTGAAGTGTCACATTTCTTGATATTGCTCTTTGGAAAAGTGAATTGTTCTTGACACTGAGACTGTGAGTTTGCATTGGGGTCAACAAAGATCAGATTAGCAGAAGAAAGATTTGATGTGTCGTGTTGTTTGGATTTGTAGCGTGGAGGATGTCCATATATCTAAAAACAAGTGTCTCCTATGTGATGATCTCCCACATTGATCATAGTAACGACAGCCTTTTCCTGTGAAAGAACCTTGACCACCACCACAATTAGTCGAAAAGTTCCACGAGGAATGGAAGAATTACCTCTGACATAGTGACAAATGAAGTATTCTTTTATTGGACTTGAGTAACAGCATTGAGTGAGCTAGTAGTGATGGCTTTGAAGGAAATATTGAATCCAAATTCCCGTTTTTGTTGAAGGATGAGAGAAAAAACTTTTGTTAAAGTAGGCATGGTATTAAAGATCATGATCTGAGATCTTGGGCAAATTCCTCGTTTAAGCCTCTTAGAAATTTGATGATATATTCTTCCTTACTGCCCTCACATAAACAAGGATTTGAACAAGAACAATCCATAACGGTACGAAATTGTTCTAGCTCCTTCCATAGAATTTGTAATTGAGCTACAGAGGAAAACCGTTGACAAAGTTGTTGAATTTCTTCAAGATCAACAATACGGAATATATCACCATGAGAAAACCTGTCAGATAAATCATTTCATATTGTTCCAGCTGTTTCAAAATATATACAGAGTAACTAATTCTGCTATGTGTGAAGACATTGTTCTGGTAAGCCATGTCATGACCATTCTATTGCACCTCATGGTACATAAAGAGGATCAGTGATGGCAGGAGAAGGGAATGAACCATCAATGAATCGATCCTTGTTTGTGGATTCAAGCATGGCAAGCATATGGTGACGCTAGGGGTGGACTCGGGCCGGGCCACCCGGCCCGGAACCGGCCCGGCCCGGAACCGGCCCGGCCCGGAACCGGCCCGGTTACTGTTTGGCCCGGCCCGGCCCGGAGCCCGGTGGGTCCACCGGTTCGCTTCGGCCCGGCCCGGCTGCTGGGCGGTTCGGGCTCGGGCCTAGGTTTTGGCGAACCGGCCCGGCCGGTTCGGGCCGGTTTTTAATTTTTTTTTTTTGAATTTTTTTTAAGTTTTGGGTTGGATTAGGTATTTTGGGCCATTTGAGGTGGTTTGGGGTGGTTTGGGGTTGAGGGGGAGGGGTTGGGGGTTAAATAGAAGAGCCAAAAAAAAAAAAATTATAACCGGTTAGGCCCGGCCCGGCCCGGTTTGGCCCGGAACCGGAACCGGAACCGCCCACCGGCGGTTCGGGCCCGGGCCCAACTTTCCTGGCCCGAGGCCCGGCCGGGCCCAGGCCCGAACCGGGCCCGAACCGGCCGGGCCCAGGCCCGAACCGGGCCCGAACCGGCCCGAGTCCAGGCCTAGGTGACGCCATGAACGAAAAATTCTTCACAGTGAGAAGAATAGGAACGAGAACGGGAGTGGGATTCTCATTCCGATACCATATTAGCAAAAGGAAAAACAACAAGAAGAAGAAGATAAAGAGGAAAGATGTATCTTGTTTATTATTCAGGGCAATGACAAAGTATTTATTTATACATGAAAAGGAGAAAAATATATGCCTAACAATCTGTCTTTCTAACTAACTTCTAAAAAACAAAAGACAGAGAGCTAAGCTAATTGCCACTCTACATAAATGTACATCATTACGTGTGCATGTAAACATGCATGAGTGAGCTGTTATAGTTAATATTATGGCAATAAAAAATATTTGTGTATGTTTTAGTAAGAAGTGTAGGCTCACAATTTGAAACCTTTTGGCTATTTTAATATATAAAATCATTTTAAAAATTTTAAGGTTTCCTCTTTGCAACTGCTAAAAAGGTATTTACAGCACTTTTCATAACAAAAAAAAAATTGTGTCCTTGTGTAAGACTTGTAAGTATCGTAAGCAACCATGGCCATTCATTTCTAGCTGGAGACTCTTGGTCATGCTCTTGCGTACACTGTTAGTAAAAGTCTGGAATACTTTAGGGGAAGGGAGGAAGGGTTTCAACTTTTTATGCATTATAATGAATAAGGTAACCAACACGTACCCATAATTATCTGGCATAATAATTGTGTTGAATACATATAAATATCTTAGCACTTCGCATGTCTCTATATCTCAAATGAAGGACTACTAAAAGTTAATGATCAGCCTTTGCTTGGATAGTGGAAGGGATGCAGCGGCGGCGAATTCTGAGATACCCAAACTTCCCAGCACCAGGTGATGAACCTTCAAAGATAATAGGCAAATATCCAGTTGCTGCCTTATATCTTTGTTGAATCTGAATCGAAGTATCACAAATACAAACTATCATCATTAATTTATATTCTAAAGTGATCTCCAAGTTGAAGCTAACACAAGTAAATATTGGGGGTAAGAAATCTGGAAGTGTGGGTCTAAATGGTTTGATGCTCAAAAAATTTCATCGGGAACTGCCCCAAATGGTGACGGCCGGACAGAGCCTCATATATAAGGGCTTATTTGACCTTTTTATGTAAGTTCGAGGGCCTATCTGATCCTTTTCCCTTATAAAAATTATTTGTTCTCTTCCATACCATTTTAGGGTTCCCGTTAATATTTAGAAAGTTTGACGAAAAGTAGAGTTTATTTTGGCCACATAATAGTTGAGTTGGTAAGTTGATATCACTGATTAAGTATTATACATTTAGAAACCACACTAAAGATTCTATACATGTTCAAAAGTCGCATTTGAATACAACACCAACATTCAAGCCTTAGTAAAAAATCGCATTTGAGTACAAGGACAGCCCAGTGCACATTGGTGTCCCCACAGAGCAAGGATCTGGGGAAGGGTCCCATCACAAGGGTGTATAAGACTGGTTGCAACCATTGGGGTGAAAGGTGGGAATTTGATGTTTTCACCTTACATGGTGTGCAAGCATAACAAAAAATAGTATACGAATCGGAGGATGTCATAGTGGGTATGGAGCAGGTATGAGGCACGAATTTATCCCTTTTCCCCCAAGCTGAAAAGAAAAGCAAGAGAACACGGGTGCTCGCTGGGCTACGCTTGAGAAAAGAAGTTCAAAAGCAGCTTGCACAACCCGGGGTCAAAAAACTTTTTTTGTAGCGTTATTAATTTTTTATATGAACTCCAATTTTTACAAAACATATACTCCATCCGTTCTCTAATAATTGTCTCGTATTCTTTTCTGGGATGTTTTTTATTACTTGTCTCTCTTTGTCAAAATACGTTTGTCTGTACAGAAAAAAAAAACTACACAAACAGTGTGTAAAAGTGTGTACCAAGAGTATTTTTTATATCTTTATACCCTCACTTTTATTACCCTTTAACTTTTTTTTTTACTTTTTACAAACTACTTTCTCTTTGCTACCTTTTCATTATTTTTCTCTTCTTAATATACTTACTCTCTTTCCTACTTTTTCATTTACCCTTGATCCTCTATTAAAAACCGTGAAAAACACAATTATTAGAGAACAGAGGGAGTATTGAAATTCATAAAATGTTTTGATCTTACATATGATACCACATATATAAAATAAAAAAATCTGGGGATCCGACTGCCAAGGGGTTTTAGGCCCAATTTTTTTGATTTATTGAAAGAGCATGGTTGCAACCAGCCTAAGGAGCTCTGTTGTCATTTTGACAACCAACCCTCCCTTGTCATTTTAATAAAAGACCGTTCCTAAGACTTGAACTTGTGACCTCTCGCTCACACAGCAACACCGTAACTGGTGCACAAATGCTCCCCTTCAAAATCGCATTTGAATAATGATAAAAATATTGATACACAAATTTAGAGATTAAACGAGAGCTGAGGGTTCCACTACATAATAGTACACCACTAATATGGAATGGAGGCAGTAAGTTTCAAAATGATGTTGTTTCAAACCAATGTTTATTTTTGTGCAAAAAAGATGGAAAGGGAAATGTTCCCAATGTGTGTATGTAAGACTGCAACGCTCAGCCAGGCACCCGCAAAAAAAAAACACAGCAAAAGATATACATACAAAAATTACCTCAAGAATCTTCTCGCTGCTCCGGAGAGAATTCCTGCCAATCACACAAACAGTTCCACCAGACCCTCCACCAGTGATTTTTGCACCATATAAAGTCCCCTCTGCAGATTTTGAGGCCTTACCATGCTGAACTTGTTGCACTAGCTGAACAAGCCTATCTGTTCCATCTGAGCCTAGTCCACATGCACTATAGCTATAGTGGCACTGTAAAATAATCCATGCCATGTATTAAAATGAAGAGAAAATTTCCTAAATATTCCCTCCGTCCCCCTAACTTTGTCCCGTTTTACCTTTTTCGTCCGTCCCATTAAGTTTGTCTCATACCATATTTGGTAATATTTGAGTGGCTATAATTCATTCTTACTTTATTCACACTTTATCAATTCAATACCAACCACACAATTCCACTTTTTCTTAAAAATCACACCACACATCTTTGTCCCAAACTTAGGGGGACAGAGGTAGTAAGAGTAAATTGTAACACATTTCTTCAACTATGATTATATGAGTCTTTGTTTTCTTCCCAAAATAGGATTCATTCGCTCCTATTTTGGAAAGTTTTAATGTTTTATTCTTTTAGTAAGATTAAATAAATTAAATAGGAATAAAACACAGTCCTGTTTTTAACTTTATTATGCTTACACCTATTTGAAGCAATTTCTTTAGAACAATATGTAACATCAAAGATACAATGGTCACACGAAATTGAACTCGAAACATCCGAGTACCTGATACAATAGTTCTCCCAGAGATGTGAGCTGATCATCTGAAGTTGCAGATGTTAGCAACGCTTTAAATGCCTGAACATGAAATAATGTTAACATTTTAAGCACTTCACATTATGATGATATGATGACTGTGAAATACATTGGAGGAATCTTCTACAAAATTATTCAAAATCCGGACTCATTAGGTATTTAGATGATGCACTCACATTTGAATATTTGAGGACAAATTTGATCACTCGTGCAATGATGCGGCCCGAGGACCTTATGTAAAAGGTTGTTAAGCTTAAAACCCTAACACGGATTGGGAGAGGATTGGTTGATCGTAACTAAGATCCCAAGATGGCAAGATCCTAGGACAAAGTTACTACGTAATATTTATAAAATATACATCCATAATAACTTAAATTTAAAATCCTTTTGATTCATCCTAAATAGTTACTCCCTCCGCCCCTGATAGTCACATGTTTTCTATTCACATGTTTTAAGATAGTGTGTTGAAATTCCGTAATTACCCTTGTTTCGGATTGCTTCCCCAAATGGGCCCCAAAAACGGCTTTTCTCTGCCACCCATGGCTAACACGCACGGCCGTCGAGTACGGTCTTCCTCTCTGCAACCGCCGACGACTCTTCTCATCATCATCATCATTACCCCAGTGCCGCAAAGGCTCCCACCTATGATGGGGTAAGGGGGGTCAGATGTACACAGTCTTACCCCTGTACTAAAGCACAGAGAGACTGGTAAAAACGGTAAATTGGCTAAATTGGCTAAAGCTCCATCACTTAAATTGGTAAAAACGGCCACATTGCTTCAGGAGTAACTAAAAGTGGCTGAAACAAATAGACATGCATTCTCTTCTCTCCTCAACCTCTCTGCCGAAACAGTCCCCAACTTTGTTGCTTCCACTGCAGCTGCATTCCACCTTCCCATAGATCCTAGAAACCCTAAAAGTGTGAGGATATGAAGATTCAGAGGATGGAGGAGGGAGACCCGCCTTTGTTCTTCTGCTGCCGCCACATCCCGCCATCCCATAAACCCTAAAGGCTCTCTCCGATTGGAAGTAAGAACAAGTTCAGAGGAGAGTAGAGGAAGATACGAACACAAAGAGGGAGGAGATAATGGGGAGGGTGGGGAAAATAATAGGATGGTGAAGTTGTAGATTAAAATAATCCTCTTCTTCTTCTTCTTCTTCATTACCCCAGTGCCGCAAAGGCTCCCACCTACGGTGGGGTATTGTAGATTAAAATAATAAGAAGGTTCAATTGGAATTGCACATCAAGTTTCATGCCAAAAAGGGAAATGAGAATATCAATTTGGGACAACCCAATTAGGAAATCCGGGACTAGCAATTTGGCAGAGAAGGTATCAACGTAATCTAACCCGTAAATCTCAGTGTACCCTTATTGAGACAAGATGTGCTTTAAGGCGAACTTTCCATCTCATCGGACCTTTACAGTATATCAACCGCCAACAAACAACAGATTAACCAGACAGAAGCGGGTCCAACTCCCGCATCTTACTAGAATTTAAAGCCCCCATCTGAGCAAACATAACCTCACAACACCCCTGATGAGACATTGCTTCACGGGTAGTGTACGAAATTGACACAGCAGTAATAAGGTGTGGAAGCACAATGATAACTAAGGAAATTATATATAGGATAAGAATTACAAGAAGAGTGTAAGCCTTTCGTCTCCCAATAGGGATTACAGTTATTTATTGGTGAATCTGGTGTAGAATGATGTGGATCTCTAGCAAGGGAATCAGCGAGCATAGCCTCAACAGGGTTAGATCAGGGTCAACGATAGTAAACCAGCGCAATGAACGAGCTGACTGGTTAGACTTCTATGTACTGAAGCACAGAGAGACTGTTTCCGGATGACCCATAGTGAAAATCGCGTCCAAAATTACATGGCCTGACTGCTACTTCATAACAAAGAAGCGCAGACAGTTTAGTGAGTCATTTTGCTTTATTCCATCATATTCTCAAGCCAAAAAATAATGAATCTTTGGCTCCATTGCAAATGATGGAAAAAGATAGATGATCTTGAGATATTGAGACAAAATCATAAAAGCTAGACTGATCTGTTAGAAATGGTGGGTAGAAAAAGCAGGATTCAATAAAGGTCACATCAGCTGACAAAGTGACAAACAAAAAGGTAACATACAGTACAAAGACACATTTGATTGACCTAGCAGACCATTCTACGTGTTGTGTCATGGAGATGACAAAACCATTCAAATATGCGAGGTGGTAAAGGGAACAAATCACGTTTAGAGAAGATGACAGAACAAGGAATTTCATTAGTTAACAATAGGAAGGAATCCTATTAATCAGGTTAAGTGAGAATGGCATCAACCCAGAACTGCAGTGGTGTATGGGAATACAATAAGAGGTTACAAGCAGTATCTACCAATTGACGGTTCTTACGTTCTGCAATCTCATTTGTGTTGAGTTGTATAGATACAGGAAGATTGGTGAAACATATCACGGGAAGCCATCAATTGATTGAATGGAGTTGTGAAAAATTATTTAGCTTTGTCAATTCTCAGGACTTAGATAAAATGACCAAATTGTGTTTGAATCTCAGCACAAATTGACCAAATTGTGTTTGTTTTCAGCACCAAAATTTTGAAAGGTATGAAACCATTCATGACGGTCATTTATTGAAATGAGTCCATGTACATCTACAAAAATCACCAAAAAAACAACAAAAACTCAATGTAGACGTGACAAAATAAGGACTACAAACCTCCCTATGAACTATATCAAAGGGGGACGCAGCCCGTTTATTCACTCACCTGATAAGGACTAACTAGATTGTTTTCCAAGGTGACACAACTCACAATCTAAACTCAAAAGACTAGATAGACCTGGGACCGCTCATCGAAACTTGAAGACGAGGACACCCCAAGCATTTATGAAGAGTAATTGCTGATTCAGTAGACACAAGCAACTGAATCAGAATGATGACTGTGATAGAGGCCCCGAGATTCAAACCAGACACCAACCATCTTCTCTATACAACGGTCCTTTAGAACCAGAGAATGAGCAGAAAAGGTTATTAAACAATCAAGGAAACGAGTAATAGTACTTACAGAAACAAGATTAAAGGGGCTATTAGGAACATATAAACTGACTCCAGCAATCATGATGATTTTAGGAGGACCTGTCCAACTCCATGGAAGCGGTGTGAGACCACTGGCCTAAGCTATCTTGAACAAGTTTAGATGCTTTGAAATATTAGATAAAAGATAAGGATTACATGATATATGGTCACAGACACCGGAGTCAAGGATCCATGAATTACACAAGTTTGAAACACAGGCAGACAACAAGGAAGTAGGCAGACAACGTGAAGAAACTGTGATATTGGATGCCTTATACCTTTGGTATTCCTCATATTTTGGGAGAGATATCATAACTGGATGTGTTAGAACCTGCAACATTAGCTGAGTGAGACTTTCCATGTAGTTTCAAACATTTACCCTTGGTAAAACCTAACCAATGACAAAAGCCACACTTGGAACAGGCTCAACGCCCTGATAGGTCCCAACATGTTCTTGAAGAAAGTATTGTGGAATCATTCTGTACCTCGACAATAAGCCCATAGGTGGCACTAAGGTAGTCAAAGTCTCTGAAATATATGATTATATTCATTATACTTCATATTGAAATGTTATACAAGTAGCTCTAGTTTTTTTTCTAACCCATTAGGTTGAACCACCTAAGTCGGTGGGACAAATGCCGGAGAACATTTACCGGATTTATTGACAAAATGGAAGATTAAGAGCCTCTTTGGTAACCTTTTTTTAGCTTATCAGGCTTATCAGCCAACTTTTTCACCAAACACGTAACTTTTGATTTCTCGCGCTGAATTGTGTAATAATAGGAAAAAGTAAGGTTGAAGTTACTTTTCTGGCTATATTAGCTGAAGTTACTGTAGAGGGAATGTTTGAACTTTTTGTCTTCAGCCACATATACAAGTAGCTCTTTTTATAGCTATACTAGAGCATTATACTTATACACAAATGGACCAACCCAAAACAACTAGGGTTTCCACACTTCCCCTCAAGTTGGGGCATATTTTTAAAGACCACAAAATCTGAAAAAATGAGCCTGACAAACTAAACTGCATTTTATCACATATAGACACCAAATCTGGGGAATGACCACAAAGGTGTTGAATGAGTAAATGCAACGGAGTCTTGCATCAACTTTTCTCAAAACATCATACACAACACGACATCCATATGCTCCCACTCTAGCGTTTTTTCAGTGATATCTTTGGCCTCCGCTAAGTGACACCCATTCCTTGACCTTTGAACCATAACTCCACAGAAGCAGCCCATGATTGATAATTTGTACTTCCAACTAACTTGTCAAGGGTAATGCTCGGAAGAGCAATAAAAAAAGGGCGTGTTGGGTGCCAAAGAAAGCAGTGAGGCAAACTGAAATTTATGGCAGAAGAAGACTGGTGCGTGAAGTAGACGGTGGCGCATCGAGACAGCGGCGGCACATGGTTGTGTTGGATGGTAGTCACAAATACCTGGTAAGGTTACCAGAGAGGAGTGCAACGATGTGGGTGGTGTCGATAGAGGATTTCTGAAAAAAGAGATCGGAAAGAAGGTCCCAAATTAGGGCTAGAAAGAATGGTGGCGAATGCAGTAGTCATTGGCAATGGGATTACGGTGAAGCATCAAGACGGTAGTCTTAACGTGATGGTAGGTTTAGAACAAATAGATCCCTGTCGGAAGAGTTTGGATCGAACAGAAACCATATGTGACTAACATTGTTAAGACCGGAAATATATGGCAGCTAGGGCTAAGTGTTTTACATTTGAACACAAGTCTCTGATACCATACCATGTGAAACTATGAAAGCAGATTTTTTCATACTGACAAACTATGGAATAAGGTATATTTGTAGGTACAAACTACGGACATAGCTCTTTATGGATTCAAAATAAAACTACTAACCTGGACACGAAAGTTCTCATATATAGGATGCTTAGCAGCCGCCTTGACACCATAGTTACATGTTCTGTCAATTACTGTCACAGGATCATGATGGTCTACGTATTTTCCAAGGAATGCATCACCAAACATAGATACAGGAAGCATCTTCTCATAAAGAGCTTCATATCTGTATATGTATTCTCATTTTGGTACAGGAAAATCAGCAAAAGAGAAAAAAGAAAGGTAAAATAGGAAGTCTGATTGGAAGAATATAAACTATTAAAGCACCATTATCGTTTTTTACCTGTGTGGGGAAAGATTGCACAAGTAATCTAAGGAACCCTCTACTTCAAGTAGTTCCATAGAATCTTCATCTGGCTCATCATGAGTGACTCCCCCATTAGCTGATGGTGACCGAGTTGAAAATGCCGATGCAATAGATTTGATAATCTCTCGACCCATAAATGCTCCAACCCTTACAGATTTATAATCTGCACCTCCAACACTGCAAAATATAATTGGTTAGAAGGCAAAAGAAGGTAGAGATTCCATGTTTGCTAGTAGAAAGTAGTATCAGATGCAGGAACTCAGACCATGCACTCTTAGTATACTCAATAAACTTAAGTATGCAGCACAAATATCAAGTATTTGTGGTGTTTACTTTGAGTGTGTTTTTCCCTTTCTCCTTTATTGGGGGGTTATTCATTTTAAGAAAATGGTGCATCCACTTGATAAATTTTTTATATACAGATGTATAATGATAAAGTAGTGTAGAATAGTCCCTCCCAAACATTTGCTAATATGAGATACACTTTCCCATGTTGTGAGATACACTTTCCTTTTTGGTTTGTACCAAAAATATGAACACTTTCTTAAATTGGACTCCACTAATTTATCCTTTCATACTTTACTTTTTGTGGATCCATTTTTCTCTTTCTTACTTTTTGGAGGTTAGAATTGTAAAACAACCACTTTGTGAAAGTTAACAGAATATACTTTAGAATATTAGAATATACTTCAGAATATTCTAGTAATATACTTGAGGATATTAATATATTATTATTGTATAGAATCTTTTATAGGAATATTCTATTTGTAATGTATATTTATAGGGACTTACATAACTAATGAAAAACACACAAGATCTTTCCTCCTCTCTTCAATATTATATTTTGTAGTTTATATTTCAACATGGTATCAGAGCCTTCCATTTCAATTTAGTTTTCAGATTTCAGTTTAGTTTTTCAGATTTCAGTTTAGTTTTTCAGATTTCAGTTCAGTATTCAGGCTGGGTTTTTTCTCCAAGAACTTCAGTTAACTTCAGAACCTTACAACCATTCTGCCTACAGAACCTCTGTCCAGACCCTCATTCCAGAACATCAATACACCCTAGAACCAGAACCTTTGTCCAGACCAACACCGTCCTAACCAGTTGCACTTGCCGCCGCCGACCACATCTTTGGAGTCCGTACCAGCAGAGCTTCGCGCGTCAGTCACACGCGCCGTCGAAGGATTTCGCGGCTTCCGCACGCGCCGTCGATTGAAGCTTCATAACTGGCCGGCTTTTTGATCGGAAATCTCCATCTAGGTATTCTCTGCCAGGCAAATCCATTCTTCCGATTTGCAAGCTTTTGGATCGCTTCTCGAGGTTGGCGACGCAGATATTTTTGGAAGGGGCTGCGTATATACTTTGTCTATTTATTCGTACCAGTTGAGAAAGGAAGGAATTTGAGACTTGGTGAGCTGGCTCGCACTAGGAAGGGGCTGCGTTAGAGTACTATGTATATTTTTTTAATTGCCACTGTCAAACTCAACTTGCTGGTATCATTATATATCAAGGAGGCCTACATAAAGTCACAAACCCAGACTTTTCCAACCATCTATTGAGTTGCCGCTGGTAAGTCTTAATTAGCCGTATTTATTTATAAAAAAAACAAAAAAAAAAACAAAAAAAAACAAAAAAAATGTCTTGTACGGGTCCATTTGGCAGAGAAGTAATATGATATTACTGCAACAAGCCCGGACACTTGATCAAAGAATGTAGAAAATTGCTGTTCAAAAATCAAGGAAATCAGCTTGCTCATGTTGCTTCCGCTACCGGTTCATCTAATGGATCAATTGCTATTTCTTCAGACGAGTATGCCAAATTTATTTGCTATCAAGAATCGCTAAAGCATTCCTCTGTCCCTATCTCGGTAGTCGCTAATTCAGGTATTTCAAGCACATGTCTCATTTCATCATCCTCGAAATGGGTCATTAACTCAGGTGCCACAGACCATATAACCGGTAATCCTAGTCTATTCTCGTCATTTCATTCACATTTACCTACTTCTAGTGTCACTTTAGCTGATGGGTCTACCTCACTCGTTCTTGGATCCGGTACTATTGTCCTGACTGCTACATTACCCTTATCGCCTATTTCGAGTCTTCCTAATTTTGCATTTAATTTGCTTTCCATCAGTAAAATCACCCGTTCTCTTAATTGTTCCGTAACATTTTTTCCTGAATATTGTGTGTTTCAGGATCCATTAACGAAGCAGACTATTGGTAAAGGACATCAGTCGGGGGGGGGGGGGTCTCTATATTTTGGATACATCAATCACAAAAGGTATCTCTTGTCTTGGGGTTGAAAATTTGTTAGAAGCTCATTACCGATTAGGACATCCATCTCTCCCATTAATGAAACAAATATATCCTCAGTTTAATAAGGTATCATCTCTACAATGTGAGTCGTGTGAATTTGCAAAACATCATCGTACTAGTTTAAGTCCTCGACTTAATAAACGAGCAAACGCTCCGTTTGATCTTGTTCATGCTGATGTTTGGGGGGTATGTCCTGTTGTGTCTAAATCCGGTTTCAAATATTTTGTTACATTTGTTGACGATTATTCTCGTATGACATGGTTATATTTTATGAAACGTCGATCAGAGTTATTTACTCATTTTTCTGCATTTTGTGCTGAAATTAAAACTCAATTTAATGTTCATGTTCGTGTGTTGAGAGGAGACAATGCCCAAGAATATCTATCTACTCCATTTAAATCTTTTATGCTTCAAAATGGCATTATTCATCAAACTTCATGCGTAGACACGCCTCCTCAAAATGGAGTTGCTGAAAGAAAGAATCGACATCTGTTAGAAACTGCAAGGGCTCTTCTATTCCAAATGAATGTGCCTAAACAGTTTTGGGCGGATGCTGTATCTACCGCATATTTTTTGATCAACTGTATGCCCTCTTCTGTTTTAAACGGTAAAGCTCCTTATCACTGCTTATTTCCAAATAAAGAGCTTTTTCCTATTCCTCCGAAAACATTTGGTTGCACTTGCTTTGTTAGAGACGTTAATCCTCATCTTACAAAGTTAGATCCCAAATCATTAAAATGTATTTTCTTGGGTTATTCTCGAGTTCAAAAGGGGGATAGATGTTTTTGTCCAAATACAGGTCGATATCTTGTTTCCATTGATGCATCATTTCATGAAAATACACCTTTCTCATCATCCGAGACAGATATTCATGAGGACAATGATGAAATACTTATTTACACGGTCACTATACCGGAATCTACACCTTCAGTAATTGTTCCACATGTTACTGTTTCCGATCCCAGACCTCCAGTACACTTGGTTTACACCCGTCGACATAGAGCACCAGATCACCCACCACTTGTGACACCTGTGATTACTTATCCTGATATTGGTCCGACCTCGATCTCATGTCCTCAACCAGTACCTGCTTCTTTAGATCTTGTCTCTACATCAGATCTTGACCTTCCGATAGCACTACGTAAAGGTACACGATCTTGTATTCATCCTATTTCTTCTTTTGTGTCGTATGGTCAGTTATCATCTGCCTCATGTTCTTTTATTGCTTCCATTGATTCTATTTTTGTTCCCAAATCTGTTAAAGAAGCTTTGTCTCATCCTGAATGGCGTCATGCCAGGGTAGAGGAAATGAATGCTTTGGATCTTAATGGTACTTGGGATTTGGTAGACTTGCCTTCAGGGAAGAAGTCTATTGGATGTAAATGGGTCTTTGCTGTTAAGGTTAACCCAGATGGTTCTGTTGCTTGGTTGAAAGCTCGATTGGTTGCGAAGGGTTATGCTCAAACCTATGGTGTTGACTATTCTGACACTTTTTCTCCTGTTGCTAAATTAACATATGTCAGGTTACTTATTTCACTCGCTGCGACTCATGATTGGCACTTACATCAGTTGGACATTAAAAATGCGTTCTTGCATGGTGACCTCAGTCTATATTGAGCAACCTCCAGGATAGGATTTGTTGCTCATGGGGAGCATGGGAAAGTTTGTCGACTGCGCAAATCTCTTTATGGCCTGAACAGAGTCCTCGTGCATGGTTTGGGAAATTCAGTCAATCACTTGAACGATTTGGAATGATAAAAGGTCAATCAGATCACTCTGTCTTTTACAGAAGCACGAAAGCAGGTATCACGTTACTTGTGGTGTATGTCGATGATATTGTGATTACAGGAAGTGATACTGCAGGTATTTTGGCTCTTAATAATTTTCTTCATAGCCAATTCCAAACAAAAGACCTAGGCTCATTGAAATACTTTCTGGGTATTGAGGTGACACGGAGTAAGAAAGGTATATTTCTCTAAATATGTACTTGATTTACTGGCTGAAACAGGGAAATTGAGTGCAAAGCCAAACACAACTCCCATGTTTCCCAATGTGCAACTTACTCAAGAAGGCATGCCATTTGAAGACCCAGAAAGATACAGAAGATTGGTTGGGCATGCCATTGGAAAGCTTAACTATCTCGCAGTCACTCGTCCAGATATTGCTTACTCTGTGAGCATAGTTAGTCAATATATTTCATCTCCGGCCATTGATCATTGGGCTGCTGTAGAACATATATTATGTTACTTGAAGGGAGCATCAGGACGTGGGATTGTCTATCAAAATCATGATCACATGAGAATAGAATGTTTTGCAGATACTGACTGGGCCGGATCTAAAGATGATCGAAGATCTACCTCGAGGTATTGTGTCTTTGTTGGAGGGAACCTCATATCCTGGAAGAGTAAGAAACAGAGTGTGGTTTCTCGTTCGAGTGCCGAATCAGAATATCGAGCTATGGTGCAATCTGCATGCGAGATTATATGGATAAGCCATTTATTGGGTGAAATCGGATTGAAGACACCAATGCCTGCTAAATTGTGGTGTGATAATCAAGCTGCCACACACATTGCCAACAACCCAGTATTTCATGAGAGAACAAAACATATTGAGGTTGATTGTAATTTTATTCGAGAGAAGATACAAAAAGGATTGATCTCTACCGGATATGTGAAGAATGGAGAACAACTTGGAGATTTGTTCACTAATGTACTAAATGGGATTCGAGTTGGTTATTTATGTAACAAGTTGGGCATGATAAATATCTATGCTCCAACTTGAGGGGGAGTGTGAAAGTTAATTGAATATACTTCAGAATATTCTAGTAATATACTTTAGGATATTATTATTGTATAGAATCTTTTATAGGAATATTCTATTTGTAATGTATATTTATAGGGACTTACATAACTAATGAAAAACACACAAAATCTTTCCTCCTCTCTTCAATATTATATTTTGTAGTTTATATTTCAACACACTTCATTCTTTATTTTCTTAAAACCCGTACCAAACCCACATGCATCTTACATCATGTGACGGAGGTGGTATTATTTATGGATGACCATAAGAGTACAAGAAGATAAGGAGGACTGAGGGAGTAGCAGTTATCAAATCACAAAATACCCCTCCTTACATGAAAAAAGTTACAAGGTTAATATGGGAAAACGCAACACAAAACCCATTTCCTTCCTATTTCTTATCATGGAAGAGGAGAAACAAAAAGGTTATAGGGCCACATGTTTTTTCTCTTCCCCGATTCTCTCGTAACCAAACAAGAGAAAGTGATTTTTACTTCTTTCCTCTTTCTTTCTCCTATATGTCTCTTCAAACAAACACAAGCTAAAAGTTCCACATTTAATTGAGGAGCTTAGTATCTTTTACTCTTGTTCATTGATTTCCAGCTGGGTCCAAGACCCCCAGGCAGGGGTGAGCATTCAGTCGATCAGTTAATTGACTGATAACTGAATAACTGATAAAAATTGAAATCCAATGACAGACCAAAATTATCACTATAACTGAACAAAAAGTTGATGTTTGATTTCGGTTGGTGACTGAATATCGGAGCATAATCTATAGTCGTGAACCATGACTTCATAGAGCTAGAAGCACATGCTCTCAAACCTGATAGCTTTATACCGATAAAACTATTAGATCCAAAGTTGATTTTAGACTTGTGTATGAATTAGTAAAACCTCTGTGTCTTAACTCTTAATAGCATGTCTTGATAAATGTGTGGAGGCCTGGAGCAGTGCTGCAATAGGTGGATTGATGAAGGAACAGGAAAAATATTGGAAGAAAGTGTTGACGGAAGTGCGCGAACTTGCCATAGGTAGAAGGTGGATTGCTTATTTGTGTGAAGGTGGAAGACATTTGCAGAAGTTTACTCATTAGGGTGGCTAATCAGTTTGGGCTGGGGTTTCTGAAATATAGTGTTAACAGTTAATAATATAAGGAGTTCGGTTATCGGTAACCAACCCAAACTGATGAATAAAAAGTTAAAAACTGTATTGTAACTGAATAACCGACAAGTTCTTGTAAGTGAGAACCGAAAATCAGTTATTAGATTTTGTTTAAGTCAGTTTGGTTGGTTGTTTGCTCACCCCTACTCCAAGGCATCTGGTCCAGGCTCTAAGGGCTGGCCCCAGGCTGTTCCAAGCAACTTGGCCTAATAGACATGTGTAGTGCAAAATTTATAAATATGAAGTACTTAACATGCAACTTGGCAAGGCATTCCTGAGCATACTACAGAACAGCAAAATGCAGATGTGCTATCACTTAAGAATATCACTCAAGCAATAGAGTTGCCATATCCTACTAACGTTCTTACAAGAAAAGGAGCAGTAGGAGTTAGGATTTTGGCTGAATTATTACCTGTGTTTTATCCCAGAATCTATTCCCCAAAATCTAATATGGTCAGGAATATCCACGAGACCCAACACCTCAGCAGGCTGAAAAACACAAAGAGCGTAAACTTAAAAGTTAGGCAAATATATATAATTTGTCTCCCCTTCAGGAAGAAAGTAGGGTACCTGGCAAATCATGGCAAGAAGTTTATTTGCTTCGCCACATGCAGAAGTCATCTGGTCCATTACACCACATGGAGCTCCAACAACATGGTTCTCTACCTGAAAGTAGTGTACAAAAATTCAAAGATAGAACATCGAAAATAAAACTAGTTGGAGGTGACCAAGCAGAGCCTAACCTTTTGACAAAGTAAAGCAAGTTCCCGTGGGCTGATTTTCAATCCTGCAAGTCAGAAGTAATGAAGCAGCAAGTTAATGACTTAATGTTTATAATCCTCAAGACTGATGTGCAGGGAATTTCTTCAAGGCAAACACTGTTGCTTAGAAAGTATATATTAGCTAGTGTTATATTTTACTTGAAACTTTGGAACAGCCACTCCACATTTTATGCCTTAAAAGGAAACATTTCTTCTATTATCCCTTCCCAAGACCCCCCCCCCCCCCCAAATCGTGGGGGAGCTTTGGCATTGCCACTTTTTAATGTGATAATTATGTACTGTTGTTTGCGTAATTTTAACATAGTTTCCAATGATGCAGCTAACAATTGTAGGCGTGGTTGGAAATGAAAATAAAAAGATCAAAATCATTAAAGATAAGATGAAGTTCTCCGCCCTAGGCAAAAGAAGGTGGCATCTGACCTTGTCAAGAATGCAAGGGATAACTCCAAAATATTGATGACATTATAAATGACACCTCTATTAGCTACAAGATTCCTGGTACTGGTAGACCAGTATTAGAGTAGCCCTAGACCTATTACAGACTGCTAGTAGGAACAACAACTTTAATATAATAATATAATAATGCATATTAATAATAGTAATAATAAAAGTACTTTGAGAATAGAATTTATTTCTTAAGAGTAAATACAACAGCAAATTACAATTTTTAGGTCTGGACTAACTTAATATGTTAAGACCTGGGGTTTCATCCTAAAAGTTCAACCTTATAGGAGGAGTAGCCCATGTGTTAATATAGCATTTGGTTCATCCAAACTTTTCCGGTGTGGGACATTTAACATCCCTCCTCACGACCAGATACTTCGTCTGGATCGTGTCATCATTCATTTTTTTTTCAGCGGTTCGATTTTTTTTATCCGGCCGTAATTGTCGTTTTTCATAAGGGGCCCCACACTATGGATCGATTTGGCTCTGATACCATGTTAAGACTCGGGGTTCCATCCTAAAAGGTCAACCTTATAGGAGGGGTAGCCCATGTGTTAATATAACATTTGGTTCATCCAAACTTTTCCGGTGTGGGACATTTAACATAATAAAGGAAAGAGTAATTATGTACAAGATCTCTTAAATCAATACAAATCTCCTACTTGATTCTAGGAAATTAAATTATGATCAGAAGAAACCTCATAATTGATAATACAACAATATTCAAGCCTTATTCCCAAAAGATTTCGGCTATAATGAATCAATCCATGATATCGGAGCCAAAAAGAAAAAAAAAGATAAGGTAAGATCAAAAGGATAAGATAATATATATATATATATATAAGATAAAAGAACATGATATGAAGCAGAATCTAGGCTAGGAAGAAGAGGGGCAGAAGCCCACGTGGGTTTACTGAAGGCGGGATGGGCTTGAGCCCACCTTCGTGGGCTGGTTGCGGGCTATTTAATTAATATTTATTCTTTTTAATTTTCCTGATTTGTTTCCTATTTGGAGTTAATCAGGATTTCTAATATTTGTTTCCTATTAGGAGTTAATTAGGATTTCTATTATTTGTTTCCTATTTGAAGTTGATTAGGATCTTTATTATTCTGTTTCCTAGTTGGAGTTGATTAGGATTTCTAGGATTTTGTTTCCTACTTTGAGAATTAGTAGATGGGTATTTAAACCCCTTGTTAGTATTCATTCTGGCTCATCTTGGAATAAAATTGGTTTTAGCCTTTTGGCTCTGGGCAATGGTATTTTTATCGTTGATTATCTGGGCAACGGTTTACCTCGTTGATTTTTATTTTTCTGTTCTCATCAGAGCATAAGAAAGATAAAAGATAAAAATAACATAAGAACATAAGAAAGATAAAGAAGATAAGATGATAAAAGATAATGAGAGAGAAGAGATAAATACTCCACCACACGAATACGTGCTCTCCACTTTGGTTTTTCCAAAGTCATACTCTCATTCAACCCAAAAAGAGGCATATCAGTTCTGATTCCTCTAATTCACGTCTGTTTGGGTCTTTCTCTCTCTTTCCTCCTCGTCTCTTCTTCCCACCTCTCAACTCGCCTTACAAGTGTATCACTCGGTCCTCAACGCACATAACTAAACCACCGCAATCGAACTCCTACATCTTATCTTCTAAAGGTGCTCCTTTCACCTTTTGTTTGATTATCTCATTCTCAAGCGATCTTTTCTAGTATGTCCACACATCTAACGCAACATACGCATCTCTGTCACACCCATCTTTCGAATGTAACATTGTTTCACCGCCCAACGCTTTACACTATAAATTAATGTAGGCCTAATCATTGATCGATAAAAAATTACCCTTCAGTCTAGTCAACATACCTAGATCACGTTGAAATCCCGAGTCACTGTTCTGTTTCGTCCACCCGACTCTGATTCTATGGGATGCAGCTCCATCTAGTTTACCGTCATTCTGAATTATGGGGCACAAGTAACAGAACATATCACAGTCCGGTACCTCCTTGTCATCCCCAGTCCGGTACCTCCTTGTCATCCCCACTGTTACCACCAATTCTACCTCCACTAAATTTTCACTCCATATACTCAATCTTGCCTCAACTCAGTCTAAACCCTTGATCTCAAATGTTTGTCGTCATATTTTTCAAAATATACTTGAACTACCTTATTTAATTATTGTCTAAATAACAGTGCCGTTTTGCCATGGAACCTTTCAACGGGACAAAGGTAGTACATATTTACACTTTAATACAAATGAATTTTTAAATATACTTGTGCATTTGCAACTTAAGATAATTCTAAATACATATTTGATTCGTTCCTTATTTGATTCATTAATTTAAAGTACTTTTGAATAAATTACCAACTATGTGATTAAAATTTATTTTTAGTAAAGTGATATTTTATCTACCATTAAATTTACAAGTGCGATATGCACATGTAGACACTCTATTAAAGGTGTATCCAAAAAGATAAGTACGAAGAATTTTAAGGGATGGAGTAAAATCTAACACATATATCTAATAGACTAGAGGTCATAGTTTTATTTGGTCTCTCTTTTGTCCATAAAATACAAAAACAAAAGCTCAAATAGACTCTTCTCCTATTTTCAATCCATCACTTAAGTCTTTCTACTAAAAAGTATCACATAACTACGCTTATTTTAAAACAAAATCAAGCAAGTTATTTTGACCAGCTATAACAGGTTATTTATATAAATTACGACAATTGATAAATCTTATAAAAATTCATATAGATTCGAAAAATAATGTAATAATTATATAAAAATAGTATAATTGCAAAAATCGATATATTATTTTAAAACATTAAAATATATAAATGAAAAGGGGTTTTGACATGAATATTAGTAAAAAAAAGCTAATGGACAAAAAAGTGGGATTTCTTTTAAATTTCCAAACGTACGACTAATAAAGGCATACTTGTCTAAACTACCCTTTCTAAATCAGCGCTGCATCTGGATGAGTAATCCCTACGCACTCAGTCCGTCAATCTTGCAATCTACTCCGTATGTTTTTCATTTTAATACTTCATATTACTTACGTATGGAGTATATCTCAAGATACATTATCGTTTTCATAAGCATTATTATTCATATAGATGTATGGAGTAGCAAATAAGAGTAAATATTTAAATTATTACATCTAAATTTGTGTGAAAAATTTTCTATCACATCAGTGACAAACGTTCAATTACTGTTGTTTTAGTTACTATCTTCCCAGTGACCACCATTCCAATTACTATTGTTTAAGTGACTGCTGTTTCAATTACTATCGCTCCAGTGACCATCCTCTCAGTGACCACCGTTCCAGTTACTATTATTTAAGTGACTACCGTTTCAATTACTATCACTCCAGTTACCTTCATCTCCATCTCAGTTACTATCATTTCAGTTACTACCGCTCCAGTGACCACCATCTCTATTATTACCGCTCCAGTGACCACCATTTCAGTTACTACCGCTTTAGTGACCACCGACTCAGTTACTACCGTTCCAGTGACCACCAACTCAGTTACTACCGGTCCAATGACTAATGTTCCAGTTACTACCCCTTCAGTGACCACATATGCAATTATCATCAACATCGATTTGGGAACTATTTTTTCCCAATGACCTACCGCTCCGGTGACCATCCATTCTAGTTACTACATCCTTAGTAATCACCGTATCAATTACTATCGTTCCAGTGACCCTCCATCCCAATTAGTACCGCATAGTTATCATCGTTTTGTATTTTACTTATTCTCCATGACCTACCGTATCAGTGGCCCACCACCGGTGACGAATGACGATTGGCCAAGTATACACCGCTATCATCAGTAATCAAAACCGCCAAACAACACCAATGAACGTTGTTGTCACGGCGACGATCTCCGCTACCATATCGGCGGCATTGTCGCCACCCCCCACAGTGACCCTACCTAGCCCCTGCAGCCCCCCTTCCCCCTGCAGCCGCCCTGCAGCCCCCAGCCACCCACCCCAGCCACCAGCAGCTCCCAGCCACCCACCTCAGCCACCAGAGGCCCCCTCCCGTGCCACTGACCCTTCCCCAGCCCCTTCACAGTCGCAGCGCAACAACACATCCCGCCCCCATCTGCCGCACACCACCGGTCCCACACCACCGCGTGAGCCCGTCACGGCCAGCCCACCACCGCCTCCGCTCGTCACCCTTAGCCACCATCACCGCGCTAGGATATCGCCCTCCTTCAATGTCGCCCTTCCAATCTCGTCCTCGCACCACCGAGATCTGAGAATGAGCAGCGACCATCTTGAGCTCCTGATTTGGATCCCGGTCCAGTATTAGGGTTTGTGAGCAGAGATGATTACCAGAGAAGAAGAATCCGACGGAGGCGATTAAAGAATGGCAAGTGGCGGAAATGGTGAGGCGATTGGCAGGCGGCGAAGATTGTGATGGGGTTGGCAGCGGGCGAAGATGCGGAGACAAGCGATGGTGGAAGAGCAGGTCACATGTGCTTCGCTGGGAGATACTGGACGTGGAGCTTCAGGGGTATTTCGGCCTTTTAAAATCTTTTAGGTCTTATTTATGTCCGTATAAGTTAGTACTCCTATTTTTGTCCATCTATAAGCTGAGGGTATTATTTTGAAAGAATTGCCCGATTATGACTTACGGCTTGAGTTTCAAAAAATATGACAATTTTGCTTTTTTCCAAAAAAGAGACCGCTCCCTTCATTTTCTCGCACCAGACCAGCGTGAAGCGCTTTTCTCCTTTGCATCTTTGGTCTTCATCGCTCCTTCGCATCTCTGGTTTTCATCGTAGTGTGCCGACCTTCCTACCATCGAATCTACAATGTCGCTGCCTCCGGTTCTACCACACAACAGATCTACCTCCATCGTTATTCCATCGCTCGATCTACCTCACGTCCAGCAGCGGCTAGATCTGTTCGACGGCGGTGGCTAGATCTGTTCGACAGCAAGGGTTCATGATATAGGAGATGGCGGCTAGGGCTGTGACAAGCAGCGGAGGTACTGGATGGATGCAGCGCTTTACAGATCTGGGACAAGGTGTGGTGTTTGGCAGTTGCTACGGAGGAGCTGGTTGCAGGTCAGAGCTAGGGCAGGACAGGGGGCAGGGGATGAGGTGCTGGAGGGAGGGGAGGGGCAGGGGTTTGGGGTGCTGGAGGGAGGGGAGGGGAGGGGAGGGGCAGGGGTTTGGGGTGCTGGGGCATGGGGTTAGGGAGGGGCATGGTAGTAGGCGGTGTTTGCATAGATGGCGGTGTGGGAGGGGTGGTGGGGGTGTTAATGTGGCCTTGGCCGGAATTGGCACGAGGCAGTGACCGGGATTGGGTTTCACTGTGGCCGGAATTGGGTGTCACTGTGGCCGAAGTCACTTGGGATGAAGTCACTTTGGCCGGAGTCACTGTGGCGGCAGAGTCACCGTGGCGGCGGGGCTGTCACCGTGGCCGCGGAGCAGTCACTGTGGCCGCGGAGCAGTCACTGTGATCGGCGGAGCAGTCACTGTGGTCGGCGGGCAGTCACTGAGGTCGGACCGGAGTCACTTTGCACTACAGGGTTAATTGTGATGTTGGTCACATTTTTGGAATTTTAAAAAATAGATCACTTTTTTATCTTTTATCCTATTTTTAGTAATATGAGAATAAAAAGGCCTATTATTTTAGTCGTCCGTTCAAATGAAAAATCAGAAAACTGAAAACTAAAGTGAAAATGTAAAAAATATAAATTAAAAATATAAAATTAAAAATGTAAAAACCTTTTAAATAGGTGTAGAATATAAAAGAAAAAAGAAAAAATACTGACTTTGACATTTTGAAAATTTTCAAAATTGTTATCTATATTTCTTCAAATTTTTACAACTTTTTAGAGTTTTTTAATATAAAAAACCTGCTATTACAGATCAAAAACTTATTAAATCGTCGGATCGATCAATTTTTTAAAGTAAGCGTACTTATATGATACTTTTTTAGCATAGGGAGTAGGGACTAAGGTGATGGATTGGAAATAATAGAAGGGTCTATTTGAACCTTTTCCAAAAAAAATAGAATAAAGGTCATATTAGTCTGCCTGAAGAGAATTCCGTTAGACCAACTTCATTTGTGGCCAAAAAATGAATTAAATGATTTATTTTGTACTATTTCATATTAGCAATTAGTTTCAGCCATTAGACAATAAAAAAAATTCCAAGCTCAGATAAGTATTAGAGGTGAAAATATGACTATATGAGTCTGTAGATTCTCTCTCTTCAAATAAACTTAATATCTAAACGTTGAAACCAATAGCTAACACTAATGAGTAAAAGAAATTGAATCCATGATTTCATTTTAGGTCAGAAATGGAGTTGCACTGACGGGATTTGGACTGATGGGAATCTTGTCAGTCCGGACTGATAACAACACTGCTACACACACACACACTGAGTCTTGTCCTCCCCTCCAACTGCAAACCCCTTCATCCAAACACACAATAAGAAAAAGCCAAATGAGAGCATTAATTACCATGAGCCGCAGCGATTGCAGACATGCTAGCAACCTCCACAGATGCTGAGGAAGACACACCTTTCCCTTCTGGGACAGCTGAAGAGACCTACAAGTTAATCCATACCAAGAATGACCAAACATTGACTTTCCCAAAATGTAGGATGCATTCCCAAATTTCATAATAAGATTAGAGAACGGAAAAAGTACTAGAACACTTTCAATGAAACTTCATGGCATACAAATGAAACAACCCTATCCAGCATAATAAGCTTTAAAGTTTAAACACTGACCGCTCAAAAAATAAAGAGGGTTGTCATCAGCCCTAAATTTCAATGTTTAAGCAACCTCTTAGACACATCCATCACCATTTAATGTAATACTTTGTAATTATTACTCCCTTCGTTACAAAAAAAAATCTTGTTATAAAGCCCAGCAAGAAGTGGTATGCTCGATAACTCAAAACAATCTTTAGAACAAGTTTTAGTGGTATAAGTGATATTCATAATTTGTAAAATCTTGTTCCTTGATTAGTTGACTAAAAATACAAAGTTCTACCTTACTTGTGCGTCTCAAACAAAAAAATCCCTTGGGAAAAAGGGAGCATAAAAAAACATTGACAAAAAAAGTGGACGAAAAACTACATGTTAAGATCCTAATTAGCAGATAGACTTACTAGCATGCTGATACTGTTTTCAAAGCGGATTCCCAGTTCCTTCATCAAAACTAGAATTGTTCCTGCCACATATGCAGCCCATCTAAAATGGGATTCAAGTTAGTATATGACATAGAATATCCAATCAACAAGACCGAAGAAAAATCAATTACAGAAGAATCATAAACCTCTGGGATGGATCTCGTGAAAAGTACTCCCTTGCCTTTTCATACGACATTGGTCCTTCCCCGTCCACAAAATCAGATAGATCCATGTCAAAGGTGGGGCCACGGTTGCTTAATTCTGACCCATATGATACCTAAAAGGACATATTATCATTACAAGGCAAAACAGAAAGGTCCAATAACAGATATTCCAAACTACAATGCTCCAAACGTGTTGCATCAGCCATGCATATGTTTTTGAGGTGGTTCAAAAACACAGTTTAAAATAAAAAACAGTCTGAACCTACTTTCTAGAACAACATGTCAACGTCACGGTGTATGAATGAGTATTTCAAAAGTGCACATTGATTATATAGGTATTTCCTAAAGCAGTAAAGCATGTGTATTCTCTTCAGTCTTCATAAATCCTAATTTGTTGGAAACTAGAGGGTTTCTTGTTCTTTCAACCACTCCCCTCAAACTCCCCAAAAGAAAAATAGTAAAGTGCAAAATCAATTGAAGCATGAAAATTACATACAATTTGAAGAACTGGAGTCAATCTGGGTCCTTTGGCATGTTGTCGAGCTTGAGCATGCTTCCATAGCTTCTGTTTACTTGGATGAATTGTTTGCACAGCGACATGGCATGCCTCTTTAATGGGTAACTGTAAATTCCAGAGAGTAAGATAAACAAGGTAGTGACGTAATAACTAAGATAAATACAAACTTACATTGGTGGTGCATTATCAGAAAAAAAATGCAACTCTAAGTCTGTCTCAATAGTAATAAACCATCATGGTAAATGACCTAAACATCTTACTCTTATAATCTAAGCTTATTATGATGTAGAAATGTACTAATGTACTGTTTAAAAAGGAACCGAATATTACAAAAAGAGCATCTACAAATATTTATTCAATGTGACATGTTAAACGAGCCAAAATAGTACACCTGCAAAACAAGACTCCCAGAATAGTCAGCAATTCCTCCCATGACATCTAGCCTTCCAGGTGCCCTAGCAACAAAAATATCTTCCTACACACAAAAAGAAGTCAGATAAACAAGAAGGCATACAATAAATGCTGCAGAAAGCAAATGCACAAAAATGACCAAAGCTGAAGAAGAGACTGACTACAAATCTCCAAAATTTCAAGATAACGGAAGGGAAGTTTAGTGGGGACAGAAGGGAGAAAAAATTGTGTGAAGAACTATATTGGGAATTTCCATATTATACATTTGAAGCCCATTAAATATGTTAAGACCTGGGGTTCCATCCTAAAAGGTCAATCTTTTAGGATAGAACCTCAGGTCTTAACATGGTATCAGAGCTATAAGTATGGTCTGAAATTCCTGCACGTTCCTCTGCGCACATTTTCTGGTGAACCACTCTTCTTGGTGTCTGTCCTTGTCCAGCGAGTTGTGGTGAATCCTTTCTATACTTGTAAAATATATGTTTTATCATGTCGGAACAAGTAGTACCAGTGAAACTCATGTGCCCGTTTATGTCCCAAATCTCTCTAGAGACCCTATATTACCAATAATAAACTTATTGGATTTCAAAATTATCAAGATTGTGCAGGTGTTGTGGAACTGTGGTTCATGGGACAAGGAGTGGATGACCATTTGATCACAGAAGCTGATTCAATCGAGTATCAAAGAGAAGTCTGAAAACGTGTTGATGCCCAACTCTGCAGCATTTTATGGCAGTCCCTCTCACCGGAAATTGTTCCAATGTTCCTCCCTTTCAGAACATGTTTTTCTGTCTGAAAGCAAGCCAAATCTCTCTATACAAATGACATAGCTTGATTTTATTTAGTTGTTGGTAAAATTTTAAAAATAACTAAATCTGGGATGTCAATGGAAACATTCATAGGGAAAGTTCAAGGCTTAATGACCGAATTCAATACCCTTATGCCAGTGGAAAATCCATTGAAAAAAAGGCAAGCTCAAAGGGAAAAATTTATGGGTAGTCGTGACACTCTCCAAACTAGCAGGATTTTTAGAGGTCCATCGCCAGATCTTGAGTGAAAAAAATGTTCCGAACACCATTGAAGTTTTTGCTTGGCTACTACAAGGGACCTCAGTCACCGAAGAAAACAATGCTAATTATTTTGCTTTTGTTGCTTACTCCCAAGGTGGTCGAGGGAGAGGTAGAGACAATCTTCATGGAAGAGGAGGAGGCCGTGGCAGAGGAATGCAACGTTTTTGCTATTATTGCAACAAACAAGGACACACATGTGAGAGCAATGCTGGAACTTACATGGAAAACCAAGCACTGCCAATGTAGCTCAACTCAATAATGAAGTCAAGTTCTCATGTTCTATCACAGTTCGAGTATGAAGAATTCCAGCAGTCAAAGGCGGCTCGAACCTGGAATGCTCCCGATAAGACTCATGTTTCCATGGCCTCTCTTCAGTCTGTTACCTTTGGTGATGGTTCAATAGGTAAAGCTATACGAATTGGAAATGCCTCTCCACTCTCTTCTCTATCATTGTCCTCTGCCTTGTATATTGCTGATTGTCCCTTCAACTTGATCTTTGTCCATAAACTCACTTCATATCTTAATTGCGATATTACATTCTCCACTAAATCTGTGATTGTGCAAGACCGACTATTGAGGAAGACGATTGGCACAGGATATGAATCTCAAGGGTTATGAAAGCAGTCTAAAGCTTTCTACAAAAATAGGATAAATAAACGTGCAGTAGCTCCCTTTTCTCTATGTATGGGGACCAAGCTGAGTTAAGTATATCTTTGGTTTTCAATACATTGTTACATTTACTGATGAGTTTTCTCGTTGTACTTGGATCTATTTGATGAAAGAGCGGTCGGAACTTTTCAATATATTTCAAAAAAATTGAATGAATTAAAAACTCAGGTTGGGTGGTGATAAAAACCCTTCGAAGCAACAATGCCAAGGATAAAATTATGTATACGGTCATAATAAAGAAAAGAATTACTTTCTAATGAGACTATCAGTTAGTATATTAAAACAAAAAGCGCAATGTAATCATCTGATAAGTAAAAAAACAGAAAACACTTCTTATAGAACATTGTGAAGAAAATTTTCATCATATCACCTTCAAAATGATTAACATTGAAAAGATATGAAATGAATATAAAATTGCATAAGAAAAACAATTTAACAAATTAATAAAAATGCACACAACCACACACATAAGAAAATAGATAAATAACATACAATGACATCAAAATCTTAGTCAGAAAAATGAATACCTAAATTGAACAACAATAAAAAATATCCACAATTATGCTTTGACCCATTGGGCTGTTCCTGTTCTGAATTTGGAAATAACTTTTAATGATTTACATAAATTTTGTATTAACATATTTGTCTCAGAATACTTATAAAGTATTAAAGACTTGGGCCTCAAAGGAAAATAGAATCATACTCACAAGTCACAACATAAATAAATCATCATCATTACCCCAGTGCCGCAAAGGCACCCACCTTTCGTGGGGTAGGGGGGTCGGATGTACGCAGACTTACCCTTGTACTAAAACATAAAGAGACTGTTTCCGGATGACCCATAGTGAAAATCGAGTTGAAAATTGCATAGGCTGACTACAGCTTCATAACAAAGAAGTGCAGACAGTTTAGTGAGTCATTTTGCTTTATTCCATCATATTCTCAAGTCAAAAATAGTGAGTTTTTGGCTCCATTGCAAATGATGGAAAATCACAACATAAATAAATACGTAGTATCAATTATTGTGTGTAGAAGAATTCCGGTTTTTATGGGCCTAGAGAGGTTGCATCTCTTGCCCTCCCTAAGGTTCGCCACTGACGACGCCTTATCGACGCCTCAAAACAACTAGGAGAATTCAAGAGAGTCGATAGAGCATGGAGTAGCTGCCCGGAGCACCTCAGAGACGCCGTGATCACCATGGCAGAACTATGCACATAAGTGAACCAAAAAGCACTAGAATGCTTTTATAGGAAATTCTGAACAAAGTAGAGGGTATTCATCTTCAACAGAAAACTAGGTAAATGAACTGAAACAAGACTATATAATTAAATGAAAAAAATCATACCTCCCAATTGAAGAGACCAGCAGCAGCTTTTTGCTCCCGCTTCTGGTGCTTCTCATTACTTTGTGGAGTATCATACGTCAACTTTCCCAAGTTATTCAAGAAGCTTGTTGTATCTGACAGGCCTTGAAAATCGCCATGTAGAATTTCAAAGTTCTCAGAGTTTCTAGAATGTCAGTGCCAAAATATCAGCATCCAGAGCCTTAAGCTGGTAAAATTGATGCGCACTGGCCAAAATAAGGTAGAAAGAAACTTACATGGTAGTTAAAAGAGAACCTTCCTCTGTTACAGGAGGTGATCCAAGACGAAGGCAAAGCTCATTTTCAGCATTAGCATACCAATCTGGTACCAAAAGATCTCTTCCAGGTACTCTTTGCAGTTGATAACCCAGAATTATAGCATCTCGCAGTCTCCTTGGCCCACTTAGCTAAATTGCAAGGAAGATAGAGATGAACTTTCAGAATTCAGTTCAATAGTTTTTTAATGAATCATGTCTCAGTCATGCTAACGAGATTTCCTATGATTTCCCCCTGGCTAAAATATGAGCAAAACATGGATGGGCATACACAATTCCTCCTATGACTCGTCTCTTTTATGAGCATGGTTGCTCGTCTCAGATCTCGGGGAAATGAATAAAAGAGATTAAGAAAGTGTTTAGGTTTGCTTAATTTGTAATTATGCAGTACCCAGCCTTGTAGAGACATACAAGAATTAATTCTCTCAAAAAATAGTTTATCAAACAAAACTAAGGTCTCTCAGATATCCATTAAAAGAGCTCTAATCATTATAGGCGGTTTGTAAAAGATTACAGCAAAATAGTAGCACCACTCCATAATTTGCTGAAAGAAGAGGGTTTTCACTGAGACCAAACAGCCAGGGATGCATTTGAGAAGTTGAAGGTGACCATGACAACCTTACCAGTGTTGAAAGCACCAGATTTCAGCAAATTGTTTGTGGTGGAAACCGATGCATCGGGGAAGGGACTTGGAGCTATGTTAATGCAAGAAGGAAGACCCGTAGCTTACATGAGTAAAACCCTATCAGAGAGAAACCAGAATAAGTCAGTGTATGAGAGAGAGTTAATGGCGATTGTACTAGCTGTTCAAAAGTGGAGGCCTTATCTTCTTGGCCGCAGGTTTGAAGTGCATACCGATCAGAAAAGACTGAGGTTCCTAACGGAGAAAAGAATAATGGGAGAAGAACAACAAAAAGGGGTTACTAAATTAATGGGATACAACTTCAGTATTAAGTACAAACCGGGGGCCGAAAACAAAGTTGCAGATGCATTATCAAGGAAGATCCATCTCAACTCACTGTCAGTGGTCACTTGTCAGGAGTGGGAAGGACTCGAAGAGGAACTTTTGAAAGATGAGAGGTGTCAAGAGATCATACATAAATTATGGAAAAAACAGGAAGTCAATCCGGATTTCAAATTATGAAAGGGGCTGCTGTACTATCAAGGCAGGTTGGTTATACCGAAGGATTCTGCCAGGATACCTCTAATATTTAAGGAGTTCCATGACTCTGCAGTTGGGGGACATGCTGGACAATTTAGAACCATGAAGAGGATTTCCACCCTATTCTACTGGGCTGGAATGAGAGCTTATATCAAGGCTTATGTACAGGGGTGTGAAGTCTGCCAGAGGAATAAATACCAAACTTTAAGCCCAGCAGGCCTGCTACATCCTCTGCTCATCCCGAGTCAAATGTGGGCTGACATTAGCATGGATTTCATTGGGGGACTACCTAGAGCTGAAGGGAAAGACACAATTCTTGTAGTGGTAGACAGACTCTAAAAATTTGCGCACTTCAGTGCTTTAAGCCATCCTTACACTGCCAAAGGAGTTGCTGAAATTTTTGTGCAAGAAGTAGTTAGACTCCATGGTTTCCCGAAGTCCATAGTATCCGACAGAGACAGTGTATACCTTAGTTCCTTCTGGTCAGAGTTATTTAAACTCGCTGGGACTAAACTGGGGTATAGTACAGCTTACCTGAGGTGGTGAAACGGATGGCCAAACGGAGGTGGTGAATAGGTGCCTAGAGACTTATCTGCGGTGTCCGACGGGAACTAAACCTAGGCGTTAGGCAAAATGGCTTCCATGGGCGGAGTACTGGTATAACACTAACTACCATGTGTCTATAAAGAATACTCCCTTCAAAGCTTTATATGGACAAGACCCACCTGGTAGTAGTGAGAGGAGATGCTTCTCTAATAGAAGTAGATGAAGTGACAAGACTAACAGCAGAAAGAAATACAATGTTGGAGGAATTAAAGGACACCTTGGCTAGGGCACAAAACCAGATGAGACAGCAAGCCAATCAACACAGAAGGGACTTACAATTGGAGGTAGGAGAGAAGGTGTACCTCAAATCCAGCGTTACAAGCTCAAGAGCCTAGCAAAAAGAATCAACCAGAAGTTAAGTCCAAGGTGCTATGGACCATTTGAAGGGGTTGAAAAGGTCAATCCAGTAGCCTACAAGCTGCAGTTACCAGAGGGATGCCTCGTCCATCCAGTTTTTCACATATCCTTATTGAAAAAGACCCTATCTCCTACTCTAAAGTTTCAACCGCTCCCTAAGTGCATCTCTGAAGATTGGTAACTTCAAGTCACCCCAGAAAGCATTGTGGATACTAGGGTCAGCCCCACAGGAGTGAAGGAAGTCTTGGTACACTGGAAGAATCTGCCAGATTTTGAAGACTCTTGGGAGCCCCTGAATCAGATGCAGGAACACTTTCCAGCCTTCCACCTTGGGGACAAGATGGTTGTTGAGGAAGGGAGTGATGATAGAGACAAGGGCAGGAATGTAAATAAACCTAATATTGAGTATTTTGATAAAGTATACAAAAGGAGAAGGGGGACCAGGAATCTCTAACAAAAAGAGGGCAAAAAGGGGTTTTACCCGGGGGACGGGAAAATTATTAATAGAAGTGGGAGAAGGGAATTAGGGCAGCTGGGTATTCTGTTAGTGGGTGGGCCCTGGGAAGAGAGACACTCTTATTTGTCTTATTGTTTCTTCTCTATCGTTCTACGTTCTACTGTAATTCCCTAAGGATTTCTGAGTTATCAGAATCCATTACTAATATAATCAGATTCCCTGGTATTCGGTTTGGTGTTCTATCAGAGGATTCTTATAGTATTTAACTTTGCAACTGGAGCAAAGGTCTCAGTATAGTCTATGTCATAGGTTTGTGTATATATCGTGGCAACCACCATTGCCTTATATCTTTCAAGGGTTCCATCTGCCTTGAACTTAGAAGTAAAAACCCATTTACATCCCACTATTGGTTTGTTCTTGGGTAACTCTACAATCCACCATGCCTGATTCCTTTCAAGTGCATCCATCTCTTCCAAAACAGCTGTCTTCCACTCACGTTTAGATAGAGCTTCCTGTATGGTTAAGGGAATAGCAATAGAGGAAATCCTAGAGGTAAAGGCTGCAAATGATAAGGACAACCAAGAATAAGACACATAGTTTGAAATAGGATATCTACACATGACCTTTTCTCTTTTCTGAGAGCAATTGGTAAGTCAAGGTCACTAGAATTATTACCTTTTTCATTTGTTGTCATTGAGTCAGATTCATGATCAGTTGCAGGATCAGAGATTTTCTCTATTCTTTGATTTGGAACTCTCCTTTCATAAACTTTGCCAAAAAGTTTACTTGTTTGCTGCTCATCTTTTTCCCTTGTTTCAGCTATATTTATTTCATTTTGTTCTGATTCTGGACTATTTTCTGATGCATCTAAGTTTCTAGTATGATGTACATCTAGATTAATGTCAAGAAAATCAAGATTTTCATGGATATGTATACACTATTACCATCTTCACTTGAGTTCTCCCCCTGAAGATGAGTATTAAAAAAGGGCTGATTTTCAACAAAATTAGTGTTCATTGTTACAAATTGTTGGCAGATATTTTAGGCAGGAAATAGTTATAGAAAATATGTTTTAAGTAATTCCTGATTTTCAGGGATTGTAGATATCTTTCCCTGATTTCCAGAGATTTGTAAATATCTTTTCCTATTCTGCCTCACTGTAAGTTCTATAAATACTTAGCCATGTAATTATTCAGTAAAAATCAATATACAGAATTCTCTTCCTTCCCTGATTCATGTCATGGTATCAAAGCCCTAGGGCTACTTTCTGGATTTTTATTTCCGCCACCTAGCAGCCTTTATCGCTGCCATTCTACGCCACAAAGCAGCCTTCATTGTTGCTTCTTTTTCTTTTCATTTAACCATGGTTGATTCTGAATCTGAACTCAAGACCACCAACACTTTGGTGGTTATTGAGGAGGTTGTTCCTGCTCAGAAATCTGGAGAGCTGCAGGGTATTAGAGCCTCCTATCGCCTCAATGGGAAAAACTATCTCAAGTGGTCACAAGTCGTCCGCACATACCTCAAAGGGAAGGGAAAAATTAGCCATCTCTTGGGGACTGGACCAGGAAAATCAGATCCTGGTTTCATCGCATGGGATCAAGAGGACTCAATGATTATGTCACGGCTATGGGATTCCATGGAACCAGCCATTAGTGATACTTTATGTTTCTAACCAGTGCAAAGGAAATATGGGATTGCATTCAACGCACCTACTCAAAGGCACGTGATGCACCTCAAGTGTATGAGATAAAGATTAAGACGAGTGGAATAAAACAAGGAGACATGTCTGTCACAACATATGACAATCTGTTGCAAACCATGTGGCAGGAATTAGATCACTATCGAGTGTGTTAAGATCCGGGGGTCCATCCTAAAAGGTCAACCTATTAGGAGGAGTAGCCCGAAGCTTAATATAGCACTCTAGTGCTTCTCAATTTTCCGGTGTGGGACATTTAACACCGTTCCTCATGACCAGACACTTCGTCTGGATTGTGTCGTCATTCATTTTTCATCGGTTCGTCAATTTTTTTTATCGTGTCGTCATTTTTCATAAGGGGCCCTACACCATGGATCGATTTGTCTCTGATACCATATTAAGATCTGGGGGTCCATCCTAAAAGGTCAACCTGTTAGGAGGAGTAGCCCGAAGCTTAATATAGCACTCTAGTGCTTCTCAATTTTCCGGTGTGGGACATTTAACAGAGTGTTCGAGATGAAGTGCTCAGAAGATGCAGCAATCCTCAAGAAGTACATTGAAGCTGATCGAGTATATGATTTTTTGGCTGGTTTGAATCCTGAATTTGATCAGATTCGGCAACAAATACTTGGCAAGGAGGAGGTTTCTTCATTGGAAGGGACTATCTCGATTGTTTGTGGAGAGGAGAGTCGAAGGAATGTAATGCTAGAAAAGCCGAGTGCTATGGAGGGATCTGCTCTTGTGACAAGATGGGAACATCAAAACAAGAATAAGGATGGCCAACCGAGGAGTGTAGGAGAAAGGAAAATAGAGATACATTATGGTGCACTTATTGCAAGAAGCCGATACAT